CCCCCCACCCACCCACCACATCTCCAATACAAACATTCCACATACACCAGCCTAAACACATATCCAGTTGTACAATATATCTAGTCAAAATGTTCTTTTAATTGATTAGGTTAAATAACCAGGAGAAATTGTTAGTAATCAAGACTCATTTCCTGTGAAACTTAAACTAATGATCATCTTTCACTAATAAATATTGTCATTTATCAATAATACACCAAATATCTAAACTTAATGACAGGATAGCGCACACATTCTCATGCAGTATGAAACAACAAAACATATGCCTAGACCAGTAAAAGGAATGTCACTTTTGTAAAGTATCAGAAACAAAAAGGGAGTGATTAGCAAAATTTTACCGTCTTGGTCCGGTCCTGTGCTTTAACCCGACCTCCATTGCTCATCCCAACAGCACGAGCTGTCTTTAGATACCCACTGGACCGAACTGAAATACTTTTTGGCAATGAAATTCTCTCTTCCCCACTCCCTCCAACCCGACCCAAATCCACCACACTCTTGGGACTCGTACTATGACCTTGAGAGAATGCCGCCGTCACTTCATTCTCCCCCTCCTCTTTTTCACCTGGTCCATCTTCACCACCCAAACTCATCTTCCCTAATCCATCCACAATAGGATCCCAACCCGAACTTGAACCTGGAACCAGACCCGACAGACCAAATGAGGAAGTGGAATTGACCAACAATTTCAGGCGGTGGTTCAAGTCAATGTTCGCCATTTTGAGGTTGACATTGTCCTGTCGAAGGGATTGGACTTGCTTTGCTGTCTTTTGGAGGTGGGAGAACACTGTGTGGTGCTGCTCGATCATGTCCTGGTGCTGCAGCTGAATTTGATGAGAGCATGAACTCAGTAACGTGTCATCATCATTCGGCTGAGAATTGATATTGCTGGAAGGGAAATTGGAATCGCCTGTCACGTAATCGAGAAAGGGCGACTGACTTGACGGGAAACTTGAGGGGTAGAGTGACCCGACAAAATTGCAGTCGCTGTAGATTTCTCTCTGCATTTTTTTAGTATATAGAAGCTTGTTTCCTGCACAACAAAAACTATACCAGATTTCACTAAAATTCAACAGATATCAGATTAATTAAATTAGAATTAGAATTAAAAAAATCGCCGATAAATAACACATAAATGATATGATTAATTACCTTTTCTTTTGGAAAATCACGAAACTTATACCCACGCACAAACACACACACACACACACATATCATTCAAGAAAAGATTTCACTCAATAGATATATAATTCAATGGAATTAATATGTAATTCAATAGAATAAGAAACTATTTTATTCAATTCTTGTACATTATTTGATGTAACCGAAGAAACAATTGAATGAACAAACATAAGAACGTATACATCCAAGCACAAGCATACCAACCAAAATCACAAAAATTATATTTCTTGATTAATGAACAAGAATTAACCAACGAATTTCTTCTAAAATCTTGATCAATCATAAAAGTGAATCGAAACGTAATCATGCACATAATACGTGTTTAACTGTGCGGAAAAAATCTGAAAATAAATCGAAAAAAATGATTAACTTCAATTAATTACCAGATTTAACAACAACGAATTTCACACGAGCTTAATTATTCCTGAATAATAATTCTTCTGCTATGGTTCCTTTTTAGATAGAAACACAAAGAGCATTAGAGAGAGAAAAAAGAAGGGTTTATGAAGAAGGAAGAGGGAGTGGTTTATATAATGCGCGCATTAAGCAGGAAATGGCAACTTTGGAATGTTATTTTCACAGCTATTAATCTGTTGATGTAGAGAGACAACTATATACGTAATAACGTAACAGACTGCGAAGGATTACGAACATTTGACTGAAATTGCCCTCGCTAGGAGCAAATTAGTGTCTTCAGTCGCTTAAGAAGTGAGGATAATTTCGTCATTTAAGGTAGAAAAAATTATTTGAGTGGATTATGATTTTAATCTCCACCAAACGGAAGCTTAAGATAATTTATTATAAGTTCAAGTGGCTCATGAACATATATTTAATTATTTGGTCGGAGATGTGCTGAGAGCTGTTTAATATGACTTTTTCTCTCCTTCTTGTAACGAGTTTTCTAAATAAGCTATCTTAATTTTTGTTTGAAAATAAATTTCTAAGGGCTAGCTTGGGAGTTTTGGCATATCTGTTATAAGCGTTTTTTAAAGTATCGATTTTGAGTATTTATGAGTAGATCGATTTTGAGTGATTTTAGTATCTGATTTTAAAATTGTTCAACCTATGTTTGAGAGCTTATTATTCACTGGTTTTGAAAGTGTTTTAAATAAATAAAATTACATAAATGTCACTTAGTCAAATTTAATATATAGTTTCTAGTATGAAATTTGTTTACTCATAAGTTATATTTTCCTTATAGGTAGTTTTTTTTTACATATAAGTTAGCATTTAGATTAAAAATTAAATCAAGTTAAATATTTACTTAAAATTTTCAGCTAATATTTATAACTTATAAGTAAATTTTATAATTTTAATTGATTTTTTAATTATAAGTTACTTTTTATACTTAATAAGTGAATCTATTATTATTATTTTTACCTCATAAAAAAAATTATTTTCATAAAATTAAATTTTTATTTATAAGTTATTTTTAATTATAATGCAAATTTTCTTATCTTGTAAGTAATATTTTATATATAAGTTATTTATTTATTTATTTTTGCTTATAAATAACTTTTTAGTTAATATAAAAATATACAAGTCAGTCTTGAACAAAATATGTTAAATGGAAATAAATACATTATGAGAGTGGCCAATACCTGCAGTTTAATGGGTTGGGAGAATCGGTCAAAATAAAACTACATTAGTTTTGGTGATTTTTAAACCATTCAAAATTGGTGTCATAAAAAACAAGCGAGTACTGATTTTTTGAACCCTTCATAAACTGTACTACCTAAAATCGGTGGGAAAAAAAACTCCTAAGCAAGCTCTAAAAGATATTTCTAATTCGAATTTCTTTCAAATGAAGTTATGTTATACCAATTTTCTTTAAAAAATTTTTTTACTAGAATGTGTACTTCTATAAAATTAGTCAAAAAAAAATTAAAAGTAACTTTTGAATCTCGAAAGCTCATTTTAGCTTCTTAAAAATCATTTCGAACGGGCCTAATGATTTGTGTTTACTCAAACATTAGTTAGAATGTAAGGAATAAGGTGGTGCAATGCTCAAATTAATGAACAGCTGCAGGTTAGTTAGACCCATTTCATTCATTGCCTTTGTGTTGCGTGCTTTATAAGTTCAATGGCTTTGGGACTTCCAATTTTAGTTTGGCTACGATTTGAAGTAACTCTTACATTTCCATCAATATACATAATTGATTTTGATCAATGAAAGAGCTACCTATATTAATACTTTTTTAATCGGCATGAGACTTTAACTTCAATATGTTTCACAATATAGTGGTTATTTTTAAAATAGTAGTATTTGAATTCGAATGTTCATTTCGGTTTGATTTGTTTTGATACCGTATGATGACTTAAAGTTTTGTTTTGAAACGGCATTAACTTACGAAGAGTAGCAACCTAAAACCTTATATGTTGTTTATGTTACGTTATTTAGTCGATATGTGATTTATTCTTATTGAACTTTAGTTTTAAGCTAAGCCAAACAAAGGGTATGTTTTCAAATTGAAAGTGGATATATCAAAGACATTCTCCAATCTCATGATGCTTGTGGGTAGGGTTGGGGCGAGGTGGGGTGGGGTGTGGGTGAGTTTGCTTCTCTATTACAACTTTTAACCAACTCTTTATTTTATCAAACCTAAATCATTTGTTTGGTAAAATGAAGCATGATTCATATTTGGCCAATTGAAACACTTGTTGTTATGTCATGTTAGTTAAGTTGGCTAACCTTAATATTACTTCTCACTAACTTCAATTGTCCTTTAATTTTTATCCCCACGAACATTTATGTGTATTTTTCTTTAATCTAGAAATAAATTGTCTTAGATAATGCATGTCCTATTGTCATAGGGCTGATCCGTGATCCCCGCAATGGCGTTGATGTTACTCATTCCTCAAACAGCCAGTACATGTTTTTACTGTTAAGATTTGGGATCCATCTTAATAAGGTCAACATTATTAAGAGGAGTGGTCCAAAATCTATTTAAGTTGGTCAATATTTCGATATTTAACCGATGTGAAATTTATTCCGTTAACATGCCCCCACAAGATGGCGGCTCTTTTTAAGCAGACCAATTTTGAAATTCGTGTGCTCATTTTTTGAGACTTAATCAGATCGAATAGTTCGTTGGAACTTACTGGGTTCTGATATCATGTTAAGATTTGTGATCCATCTTAATAAGGTCAACTTTATTAAGAGGAGTGGTCCAAGATCTATTTAAGTTGATCAATATTTCGATATTTAACCGATGTGAAATTTATTCCAATAACATTTACACTTTTCGAATATCGGAAAAACATGAATTTTGACTAAGTAAAATGCAGAAGATTAAATATGTAAAGCAAACATTGAAATACAAATTTTACGTGTCTCGCCCCAACTTTATTTCCCATTAAAATTAAAAAAAAAAAAATGTACAAAATTTGAATGATTAACACACTTTATTGTCTCTTCACTCTTACAATCTGCCTCTCTACTAAACCAAAGTCTCAATATTTGGAATTTAGTGACTCCAATTCGTAAGGCAGTTCACACCCCAATCTGCTAAGGTCAGTTTATTAGATTTTCAGCCCCATATGATCTGTAACTATCCCAGTTTGAACAAGATGGGAAACCACAAATAGTGGTCCCAAGTCTCCCTCATATCTGAAAATATACTGAATTGGTGGATAGAAGTTAGTTGGATAGGAAAGTATCAATGATATCGAACACCTGCATCCCAAAATTCCTGTCATACAATGGAGCCATCAAGTAAATTTAGCATCGTTATGTCTCCGTTATCCGCTGCGTCACATTTTCCAACCCGATGTCTTGCTTCATTCCTTCCCAAATCTGCGCATTGTTTGAACATCCTGCATGCCTTTGATCGTGACATCGGTCGAGATAATGCCCTTCAAAATTGACTGTTACTAATAAGGTATTTCCTAATATTGTTCTAATTAGACATAAGTCTAATCCTTTAGTTATCGGCTGTCACATAATGCATATTGCACAATTATACCACAACAAAATATTGATGTATTATTTATGAAGTATGAAAGCTATCGAAATGGTGAGAGGTACCTAAATGTGTGCACAAACGAACAATTCGATTCGTCTAAAATTCAAATGAGATTTCATATTTCAAGATTTGTGGGCTCAAATAAGTCACACCTTGGGGAAGCATGTTAAGGGATGAACCAAATATCGAAGATTTAACCTATTAAGTTTGAACGAACAGCTCAATCCGATTAACGCTCAAAAAAAGAACATGAATTTTAAGATTGATTTGTTCAAACTAGCCCCATTTTGTGGGAATATTTTAAGATAAATTCTACATCGAATAAATATAAAATGTTAACCAACATAAAAAGATTTGATTACTTCTATTAACAAAATTGACATTTGTTATCAAACTTCAAGTTTTTACACTTCAACTTTTTTTCTTGAACGAACATTACTTTGTCTACAACATCAAAATATCTAGATTCTACTCACATGCATAACTGTCCAAATGCAGTCTTTGTGTGTGTGTGTGTGTATATATATATATATAGGATGACTGTGTAATTGATACAAAATTTTTGCCGTTAAGAGATAATTGTAACTAGAAAATGTAAGTTATTTTTGAGAAAATTAATTATCGTTCAAGTGGTTTCAATCCATATTTCAAAAGGAACCTTGTCAAAATTCCTTTAACAAATCTTCATAGTCAAAGCACTTAGTTGATATCTACCATCGACGCAAAATACGTGTCAAATCCATTATGGTGATTCGGGATGGGACTTGATACTACCACTTGGATTTGGAACCTCGATAGTCATACCAATGATTTGGAGGAAATTTTTGCCATTTAGATGTGATTGTAACTAGAAAATTTAAGTTATTTTTCATATTCCTTTCAACAATTATGTTAATCATATTCATTTTATAATTTTTAGGAAAAATTTGCTAACAAAACTTGGATAAATAATTAAATCGAATTTCAATAAAAGTAAAGTTAAATAAATAATCTTGGAGATGGAAAGTAGCTATGTCAACTACAAGAGCTTGAAAGTTAGCTAGGTCAGCCCGCAACTTGTCTGATACCTTTTTGCAATGGCGATGGATGGCTAGTCTTTTAGCTGACAATGATTTAGGGTTTTTATAATTATACTTTTATTAGGGAAATCATCGACCCATGTTGAGCAGCCCGCATAGATTGATGGATTGTGTCTGAGTCAGGTCGGACACAAAATGTTGGAATGTCCCAAGCTTAGATATTAGACCTGGTCCTGCCATCCAATGAGACAAGATTCAATGTCACTACCTGCTCTATATATACTGTTGATGGTACATTAAATTCATTTTTAATTTTTGAGCAATACAAGAATCATGTAGACGTGATTATATTAGTGGATTGTAGCGCAATTCCATGCGATTTCATTTATTCTTGTCAATGGTGAAACAATCAACACTAGCTATGTAACAATTACGAGATGATCTAAGCATGTTTTAATCGACTAAGAAAACTAATCTTTAATATTTAAACCCTTTGATTCAATTAGATCAACTCATTACAAAT